GGCTACTCATTAAGTAGACCAACAAAATAGAAAATTATTGACAGCTTGTTCTAACAATAAACTTTGCTGAATATTCCAGTGCAAGCAATCAAGATGTTTGGTGATTGCTTTAACATTTTTACTAGTAAGTTTTTAAGATATTCCATATCCAGAGGAAAAGAAGAAACAAAAATAAGAGATATGTAAAGGACTTAATAATGAATTTGTGGTGGTACCTTCATATTTGTTTTTCTTACATCTATTCATCACTGGAATCTCATCTGCCTGTGCTGCAGGTGCCATGCTGTATCACTTCTCTAATCTACTGATCATGTCACACGTAACACTTTCAGGGTCAGGTCTTCTCTCCTGATGATCCCATAGGTTCCTCTCACTGATGTTAGTGGCAGGTATACACGCACATCTGTGAGAGAATTAAATGAATGTTGAATTGCTACTGAGTATTCAGCTTAAGGATGAAGTCAATCTGCCTTGCAACTGACAAGCTGTAATATTAAAGCCTGCTTTAGACAAGATAGCATTTTTTTTTTGCATACAGAAAAGTGTGATGAATAAGGGCTCAGCACAACTCCTGGATAAGTGAAAAAGCATTGTGCTGTTAGTTTCAAGCTGGAACAGCTCAGGCCAAGAAGTTTCCCATCAAACATCATTCTCTTATTTTAGCACAGACTTTTTGTTAGAATTCATACATGTTAAGTGCAATCAGTATTCAATTCATACATTAGAAAGTCTCCATGAAAAAAAACTTTTTGCCTTGTCTTCTGCTTCATCATATTAGAACTGATGATTTACATTTCAGAAAACTTAGAGAGTTGGACAGGATTTTGCACTATTACGTTATGGTAAGAGTACAGGGTGCCCTTGACTTCTAAGTTCCACTGACTGCCACGGACAGCTTCTCAAGGTGTTCGAAGCAGGAGCAAATCATTGGGGAGTAAAGAGAATAAATCAGTAACTCAAACAACTTTTATACAACAAAAACATTGCTTCAAAACTCCAAAAAAGCACTGCATTTGCATCAGAACGGTTGCAAGAATTTACAGGTGAAAGTATTTCCTAGAGCAAATGACAAAAAAAAAAAACCCAACTCAAACAGTTTTCAGCTTCAGTATTCTCTACATTGATAAATAACCTTTCCCGCCAATAAAAGCAAATACATTAACCCTAAAGGCTCACCTTATTTTGTAATCTAATTATTCATTAGATTAGAGGGTTGCAAATATAACTGGATTGAAGAATTACATCACGTTTCTCCAATAGCAGAACTTACACCTTGCCCGGCTCCTGCCTTTGCTGTCGGACTCAATGTGTAGTTACAGCGTGGCTGCCTGAAGCAGCACCACAGGTACCAACCTCTGAATCTCACCAGCGCTACCCGCTGAGTAGGGAGTGAAAGCACGGCTCTGCTTACTCCATGTCTCTGAATATGTGGGAGACAGCAATGTCCTACAGGGACTGCAAGTCCTCTCTCATCCTCTTGAACAGAGATTTCATGCTTCTGTACAGATTGCAATCTTGCCCGTACCGCAGATTGTGAAAGGAACTAACCCATCTCCTTCCATATTTATTATCTTCAGAAAGAATTTACCTTTGAGAAGATCTATGTGAAATGTTCTTAACATCAAAACAATTAGATTATATGCAAAAAGGATGGAATATTTTCAAGAATAGAGCCTGTAAAAACTTCACTATTCTACACTTAAACCGTTGCTGGCAGGAAACATTCCATTCAAGAGTTTTCATCTCTATGTAGTATATTGACAAACAGAAAAGCAATTAAACAATTTGGTAAATTCTTCCAAGTACCAGTTGTACTTTTGAATAAAGATAAGCAATAAAAAGCTATGAAGAACACAGACAAATCTGAGAAAAACACAAATGCCCGTTTCCAATTTGTTTTGAACACTTTGTTCTTTAGAAATTCTCTTCCACACTTGAGACTTATCTGAATGCACAAAAACACAGTATATGAATAAACCCCTATGCAGGGTCTTACATATCCAAGGCAGATTTCAAATGGGAAAATATTGATTCACTTAAAACAACCAGATGAACAAAATTATGAACAAAGCATAAGAATGGCATCTATGAAGAAAGAACAAGGTGACAGCACTGATACTGTAACTAATTTGTAAAAATGCCAGGGTGAATCCAATTATTGCTGTGGCTGGTTTTACACAGAAAATCAATATTCTACCACCTGAAAATTATATATTCATTCATATTCATTCAAAATTATATATTCTTTACAGTTTCCAGCCTTCACTGAATAAACCCAAATTAGCCAAACTTTCCTCTGTGAAGCAAAAACTAGAACTAGATACCATGGGTAGAGTCACATAATGTGGAAGGAGATTCCTTTTCCCAAACGTGTCCAACAGAGATTACTATAAATCTCTGCTGTGTCTAAATTGAGGTTTCAGTGTCTTAGAAATCTGACTGATTGCATGTAAAACTGAAACAGAGCAACCTACAAACAGAAACCGAAGTCATGACATAGCTGGTTTAGTTTAGATTCTGTAAGAGGCCATATGCTGCACCTTGCAAACTGACTTCTTCATTTGTTCAGTGGCAACTTTAAATATATCCTCCATTAGAATTAACTTCTTCCGTTTCTGCTGTTAAATACTGTACATTATTTTACAAAGCAAAACCTGTTCAAAGAGACAATAATTAAGAGACACATTTCAGCTTCAAGAAAAAAAGCATCAGAATATCCACAAACAGAATGAGTGAAAATGGTTCCATGTCCATTGAAAAATTGCTTTTGAACAGCTTTTAAGTCAGAATTTGTATTGTAGGAAAGAGAACAGGATTGGGAAAAATCTGAGCAATTTCCTTATGCACATAAAATTAACTTTTTTTTTTTTTTTAATTAAAGGCTACACTCAACACTGCACTTCACAAATTGAGGAACAACAAGGACTAGAAGAAACAAACTGTATTGTAGCACTGCAAGATCTTTCCACGTTAAAGAGTTTTTGGATTATTTCTATGTAGTAAATAAATCTTCCATAAATGAAGCAGCAGCACAATATAAGATTAAAAAAAAAAAAAAAAAGGCCTGCTAATATTTAAATCTTAAATCTTTAAAACCAGAAAACCTGCCACTGCAAATAAACCCATCAGAAGGCACCAAATAAACTAAGTGGTATTACAATACCCTTAGAAAGGCCCTAGTGAAATTGTTAACTGGTGTGAGAATTTGAGAACCACATGAAATATCTTATACTATAGTTGCTGTCTCCAATCTCACTGTGCTCGACTGCATATCCTAAAGCCAGGATTGTTCAAAGGTATTATAAACAAATGCAACTTTAAAAGAAAAAGTCCTTATCAGAACGCTCTAGGCTACCACTAATTCTCTCAACAAAATCCTAAACTTCACTCTTCTACCTACCACATGTTAAAACAGTCCGTGAGGTTTCATACTAGCAAGACATCAACATTCTTTATAAGAACAACAAATATGCTTACTTTCTGCATGGTAATAAAAGCAAACGAAACATCGCTGCAGGCAACTAGAATATTTGAATTGGGAAGCTTTTAAAAACAATAATTACTCAATAATTGACAATTTGACTAATCTGAATTAGTTTCAGCAATTAGACAATTAGTGTGATTCCCTCTAAAATATTTGGAACAAACTGGAGTCTTGGGCGCACAGTCATTTTCCTAATTTCAGTGGAAGCCAGAAGTGTTTATCTGATAGAGAAACTTCCTTGTGATACTGTGGCTTCTCAACTGTGTTGTTAGAAAGCTGTGCCTCCCAACCTGAACATAAACAATGAAAATTTCTTTTTTGGGCATGAAAATTCATTCAATAGTTGGCAAATCACTAAAAAAGAAAAACAAAGACCCAAAAACTCATTAATGCTGTCTTCTCTAAGAAGAAAGGCAAAAAACTCCTGGTCTGCTCTGCACTTCCACACACAGCATTGAGTAGTCCCTAAAACAGCTCAGAAGAGTTTCAAATGGATCTGTTTTAACCAAAGTCATAATATTTTTCATTTGTTCTGCATTGTTCAGCTGCTGCTGCAATCTTCAGTCTTTCAAAGCTAGCTTCTAACTGCTGACATTTTAAAGAAACCCATATTGATTTGTTCAACACAAAAATATTTTAGTAAAATCATGCTGTATGAGCTTCCTACATTGGAATACATGAACACAGGAGGTGCTTTCAACAGAAAGTTACATAGTTTTACAGTACAACCTGTCTAAGGAGATTTGGAAGGGACCAAACTACTGATCTGGTCTCTTTGGATTAGGCAGAAGTACAGGCAAAGGGGAAAAACCCAATTTATGCCATATATAGAGCTCGTTCCTGTCACATATTGAAGAAACATTTACGTCAGAGTTCACCTGATGCCCAAATGCTAGTATTTTTCAAACCAACTGCATATCAAAAATGAAAACTTAATTGTACTCAGCTCCTGGAAAGAAGCTCAGTGTAAAACAACACTGCATTCATATATGCCGTATTACTAAATGTTCTTCTCCCCTGGGGTGGGTTCTTTTTTCCCTGTTTGGTATTGGTGTTTGTTTGTTTTTTGCTTTACAGATCATCAACTTTTTCTCATAGTGCAAATTATTGACCCTTAGTCTGATTGCAGGCAGGTCAGAAGCTACAGTATTTAGAGCATTACAAAAAGTACACAATAAGGAGCTTGCATCAATTTGGAAAAGTTCACGTAAAATGTTACTGAATTGAAAAACACAAAACAAATCCAAACAAATACAGCATCAGGTGGATGGGGGAGGGACTGCTAACATACTTGCATACAGCAAGGCTCCTCTGACACCAAGGAAGTGTTTGATATTAAGTGAAGATTATACATTAAATCCCACTGTTCTGCAGGTTGTGCACTCTTTAAGATGGAATGTTGATCTCAATTTTCATTTTTCACTTCCGCGCCAAATCTGCAGACTGTGACGTGAAATGATCATCATCTCGAAAGGCAAAGCTCCCTTAAAACCACGACTGCGCTTTGAACTGTTCATTAAGATTCTAGTAAAGTATGCCATCTACATACTTGCTGTCCTTTAGATTCTTTCATTTCAGTCCAGTGGTTGAGTTCATCTTCTCCTGAGCTGTTGAGACCTAAGGATATCCAGCCGATCATCTCTTTCCGTTTCATGCTGCGCTTGTTATATACAGACAGTATGAGCGTTACATCCGAGAGCTGAAACAGCGCCACTTGGAAAACAAAGGTTTCTTTGTACACTGGATTTGGCTGTCCTCGTCGGATTGAAGTTTTGCATTTGGACATCTCTTGCCCCATGGAGTTCAGGAGTGTTAATTTAACATACGTATCTGCAAAATAAATCATAGTTTGGAATATCAGATAGAACTAGAGTTTTTGATGATATTTGCAAGATTCAAGGATATGGTGTATACCAGGCTGACTGAACACAGCTCAGACTAGACACATGAAAAAGATGGCATGTAAGCAAAATATTACAAACACAGTAACAAATTAACTGGCTTCAGTACTATGTAAATGGCTTAAATTAAAGGTATACCTCATAATCCTTCTTCCCATCCAGTCCCCATTTGTTCCAAGCAAACTTAAGTTGCATTAATACTTAGCAAGCTCAAACTAGCCACAACACTGTAAAGCATACCACTGAATTTTCAGAGAATAAAATGAACAAAAATTGAATCAAAAAGAGAAATAAAAATAAAAATAAAAAACATGTGTTGCTATGCAGTGATGAAATCACAACAGCCAAAATTAAGTGCTTAAGAATAATCTCTGCATGGATGTGGTTCTCACTTTGGGCTTTTTGAGTTTATTCATTTTTAAGACCAAAACTTTGCAAAGTGCATCCAAAGATGGAATTTTGCACAGTAAAGCTTTTAATTCTTCAATTCATGAAATAATACACTTTTGTTTTTTAACATAATTCAGTACGCTAGCATAAATCATAGCTTGTTTAGTGATCTTAGGAAGTAGATACAGGAATCTATTGCAAGTAAATGTGGCTAGCAAACACTGAATGCCAGTATATGGGTATAAATGCTTCTTTTTAAAGATCTGTTTTCACATGACTGGAAGCACTAAGTCCTGCAGAAGGATATGTATTCATGAAGTTATAACTGACTTTAACAAACATACAACTGTATTAAGTAATCTGATTTTTTTTTTCTTTTTTATTCTTTGTAACTCTACTGTTACTGAATAATGTCAGAAGATTCAAGTTTTTTTAAAAAAGGAACACACTGCACACTTTCACTTTGCAGGTACACTGAAATTCCACCATCCATAATCAGAGATAGACGCAACTTGTGAATGAGAGAGCGCAAGAAATAATAAGCATACACATTTATAAACCAGTATGATAGGCAGCTGTGGATAGCTTTACTGCTGGCAAGTTTTCTTTGCATGAAAAAGACAACATCCAATTAGATTCTACAGGAACTCACCTCGAATTATATAAACCTGTCCACCTATCAAGTGTTTTAGACAACAGAACAGTCCATCTGACAACAGGGGGTGGAAAGCAGTAAAAGAAATAATGACCAGATGTCAATAGCTGGGTGAGAGAGGATCTAAGGTTAAAGTTTAAGAGGAAACACTATTCACAGGACTGGAAGAACACAAAATCTTAGCAGCATAGATCAGAAAAAGGATTGAACAAAAGGATTGTTGGGTAAAATTTCATGAAATGATACTTTTGTGCAGTTTTTGTGTAATCTTGAACAGAAATTACACTGTTTGTATAATGGATTGTCTTAGCAGTTATAGCTACTGGGTTCTAAAGCACACAGAACACAGAAAGAATCATGAAAATGATTAGGTTATAGAAGACTAGGTAAAGAACACTATCCATTTTATCAACCCTTATGCTTTTTCATGCAAACTCCAGCATATTAGAAAAACTGCACACAGTGGTTATAATTCTTACATGAAAAGCAATAAAGCAAAATATCACTGTACTAAAAAATAAGATTCTACTGCTCTTAGATGTTACAGTTATGGCTACATGATTGTAATACTTCTTGAGTGGTGATGGAGTTGGGCATAAGAATGACTGTAATCCACGCTTTAGAAAAAGCTGAGGGAGGTTTAAATGTGAATTTCATATATGGTTCTCTCTATACAAAATGTACAGATCTCACTTATTAAAACTCATTTCTATGGATTTCGTGTGCATATATACACATGCATTTAAGGTGCAAAAACTCATACCTTGTTTCAAGATTTAAGAGATACTGGGATATACTAGGAAACAGTCTTTTCTCAGACAAAATATACACTGTCACAAGAGAAACCAAGACACATTCTAACATGCTTGGACTGCTTACAGGATTTGGCCTATTTGCTTGTACTTAGTTGCTAAATGAAACACTAAATAAGAAACATGCCACAGAGGAATATAGACTACCAAGAACCAGAAATGTAGGACTCAGTGCTACTTGCTGCAGAAGCATTTCACAAAAAATAAATAAGTTAATGAACTCTAGAATATCAAAAGGATTATTTGAGGGAAAGAATAATCGCTACCCTTCCTATTGCAGTTTCTCATGACCTAAACAAAAACTGACCCGTGCACATGATTTGCAGCACTCCTAAAGATTCCAGACCACTGATGATTCAAGAAAAAATGAGGTCAGAGTATTTCATCAACAACCTTATGTGCCTTCTGTGGAAATTATGAGAGGCTGGTGCATAGCCAATGACAAACACGCACCTGCTTCCAGGAATTTACAAGGAGTTTTCACTTTGTGGGGATGCACAAAACAATCCATGGGAGAAATTTGAATTCCACAATATTCTGCACTGTCTTGCCAGACCTAAAGGGTGTACTACCTTCCAGCTGTCTAGAAATAAAACTCCAAACCCACATTTGTGTAAACAAGAAGACTTATGAATATCAAAACCTCCTCCTACCTTGCAGAGGGGATGACAAAAGATAACATGCAAGAGTAGTTATTTGGAAACTTTTGTCATCAAGAAATCTTTCCTCCAAAAAGGGTAAGACAGAACATGCAGGGCTGTGTGTCATGTTCTATGCAATCTGAAACCAAAAATTTTGATCCTAGTTGTGTGCATAATTGTTAGCACAAGCACACACTTTGCGAATTATCTTACCAGAGAATTAGCCTGTCTGTCTTCAAAACAAGTACAGACTCTCCACTCCCAACTAATTTGCATATTCCAAATGGAAAAACTTGACTCTCCCTAGAGAGATTCCATTGTCCTTGGCTCTTCTTGGGTTTTCCCATCTATTTCTCACTTTGTCTGCAAATAGGTGATTCTGGGGGAGCTACCTAGTTATAAAAATGTATTTGAGAATCATCTTTGGCTTTCCTTCTCTGCAATGTTAATGAAGGCTGGCTAAGTCAGCATGAAAAATATACAGAGAGCAAAACAGAATACAGCTGAGCCAAATGTAATTAATGATTGAAATAAAACGTGGGTCAAGAAAGAAAGACGACAGCATCAGTCTCAACTTGTTTGGCTTATTTCCTAAATTCCGAAGGCAAAGTGAGATGTGAAAACCACTTACAAAACGTTGGCAGCCTGCTGGATAATCTAATAGTGCCATACAAATCTGAAGATTAGGAAACAGAAAGACAGGCTAAAACTTGAGCCTCAAGACCAAACCAAGAGGAACAGGTAAGTAAGTCTGGCTACAACTAATGTAAATCAGACTCGACATCTACAAAGCAATTTTAAAAGTTTGTTACTGAGCTTTCTCAAGCTTTATCAAAGAATTAGAGTCAGTAAAAAATATTCTGCGTGTGACATCCCATCTGGCTCAATTTAGACTATAGAAAGCTCACAGATATTTCAGACAAACATATTTTTGAACAAATGCTGATTATAAATCTTCCTTCTGCACAGTATATATGCCAAAGGTCTCAATTTGCTTCTACATTGTTTTTGCTGACATTCCTAAATCAAATACATTTCTACCACATATATGTAGGCACATAAGCAATCAAAGGCTGCACTATCAAACCCTCTAGGAAGAGCAATAACTGTTCATAGTGTTTATGTTAATATCAACTGGCATGTACTTTCTCTTTAAACACTAACTTTTTATTCTTGGCCTGTGATGTGAGGCATTAGTAATTTAGCAATTAATTAGTATGATAAAGGTAATTTATTAGTCAGTCATCATGAAAAATTAAAGCAGGCTTGTCAACGTACAATTAATATTTTGAATTTTAGAGTTTTGCTATTTCCCAACTGACTAGAAATATAAAACATGAAACAGATTAGTTGATGATCGCTCTATTTCATTTTGATTGGAGAAGACTAAATGATAGCATTGAAGTCCTTACTACTAAGAGCCCCACCAGTACAGAAGCATTAGGATGAAAAACGATTTTCACTCACTGGGTGGTCTGTTTGCTGCCAAGTTTTTGAAGTGGCTGCCTTTTATCACTTCTGCTGATAATCTTCCAGTTGTAGCATTGTAAAGGAGGCCAATGAGGATTTCTGGAGCTGAGCCATGCACCAGAGACTGACAAGAGGAGGTACTTTCACTGCAGGATACTTCTGACATGCTCATTTGAGAGTCACAACCCTACAAAACACACAAGAAGTTCTATGAATTCTACTGTTATTAGGAAGATAATTTTTAGAATAACACATTAGAAACTAGAAGAGAAGCTCGCTGACAGTAACAGAAGTTCCATTCGATCACAAGAAGAAACATATTTAATATACTATCAGTTCACACATGCTAGAGGTAACAAAAACTTGAAGTAGTCTGGAATTAAAATAGTTCTTAATTTTGTGTTTCCATTGCTTCATTATTCAGGAGAAATAATTGTAGAAGATGAAAAGCAGTTTTCATGGTCCCTATTTATTTCAATTGATAAGATAAGACGTAATATTATTAGTTAGCTTCTTGGAGAATGTAAACGTTGCAGCCTTCCTTTACTTCACAAGAATGGGAAACAGTAGTGGAATTTTGAAGTTAAAATGCAGGGAATTCTTGTTCACTCCTTGTAAATGTTATTCTCTAGACCGAGAATTTCTGACTTGTAAAATAACAGAATATGTGCAAATAGAAAAATGCACTCTCTCTAGAATAAATTAGCTAGCTTACAAGGAATTTAATTGATCCAGAGTTACAGAATAGTAACAGAACCTTTGTCCTGGGTGGCAAAGGAAGAACGTTACCCCAACAGTCAGCAATGATGAGTTAATTTCTACCAGGCAAGCTCCAAGACAATTCATATCTCTCACACATACATTCTCCTTATGTTAAATCTTTGACTGGAGTTTCTAATATTCACTTTTATCATTTTAATCCCTCCTTTAAAAAAATAAATAAATAAATAAATAAATCAGCCAAACAGAACTTTCTGTAAGTTGCCATGCTATCATAACAGTTTTTTCTACTTTCATTTCCTGATTTCTTGCACAGGCACACTGTACCTCTGTTGTACCTCTGTTGACAGCTAAGAACAGAACTTTGAATTATTGGAACATCCATTTATGATTATCAGAGGGGGAAAAAAAGACACACAAATTAATCCACAGATTTTTCAAATATGGCTTGACTCATTTGGGAATCTGGCAGAACTCTTTCAAAGAGTCATGATGATTTTGTGAAGCTTATTATTCCTGATTCCAAATGTCTCTAGCATTTCCAGCAACAGCTGACATGAGCATAAGATCAGTCCTGTAATCTAAACAGCACCCATTCTCATCAAGATAAAAGTTAACTTTAAAAGCAAGTAACTTAATTCAACATAAAAATCCAAATTCATTCAGAAACTCTAATTATAAAAGGGTTGAAAATAAGTGATCTACCTAGAATATCCTTCACACTGACATTTTAACTAGGTCTTCTCTACAGAACACATCCAATAGATTTGGTAGAAACTTCAAGTAGCAATCCAGCCCCTCGTCTCTAAACATCCAGTGGTGTTAGCAAGTACATTCTTGCAACTAAAGAAGGACCTGGAGAAAATTGGCTGACTTCCATCCTCCAAACTGCAAACTCCGATTTAAAATCTTTGATTATTTTTCTCAGAGTTCTTTATTCAATTCTGAGAATAAATTTAAAATGGGTTATACATTCAAAATTGTTGAAAATTAATTATGGATTTATTAATTATGCTTTATTCTCTTGTTCACAGCAGCCTCAAAACAGGAAACTTTTGATTCTGAACTTCAACAGGAGCATCGAAATGGAAAGTTGAAAAGAACGATCTCTTGATCCAGCAGTCAGTATTTACTGCACACACAATTGAAAATCTCAGCTTGTCACTGCAGTTATTATTTACATCTAGTCTTCAAAAACTTTAACACGTTGTACCTATGGTGCTTAGTCATACTATTTTTGGGGCCATGAATTTAAACACAGTCAGACTGTTCAAAAGACTGTTCAAAGCTCTGTTGTCTAATCTGATTGCAATCGCGCTGTAAGCCCACATAGAAAGACATAACACGAGGCAAGCAGCTGTGCAAACACTCCCACCCAAACCCTCCAATGGCTGTGATATCTGTACCAAGGAGATGATAGCACATTTCCCTGGACGTGACTTATCTGTACTGATAGCAATATGCTACTGCTCCTCAGCCAAAAGGGATCAGTTTAACCAAGCTTACGCAGAGTTAAACTGATTACAATAGAACAGGTTACAATCAGAATAAAATTCTAGTAATAGATAATACTAAATGAGACATGATTGAATGGGAATAAGTCCTGAAGTACTTTGAATGGGAAGACAAGTAGCTTCTGTGCAATATAGCAGAGAAAAGAGGAAACAATTGAAAAATTAAGTGTGATATTCCAAAATTACATAAGGATGAGGCATATTATACTTTAAATATTATACTTCACAGCAGAATCCTGACTGGCTGAGAGTATGACAAGAATGCACTTGCCAAGGCCGGAGAAAAAGATGTCAATGGCTGAATAGAGAGATTATGGAAATTTAGCTGATGTTTTGGATCTGTAACTGGGGGGAAATGTAACTAAACAGCTGTACCTTAGAGCTGCAGAGCAGAAATAATGTGTAGATGTAGCCTTGACGAAAAACTAGAGGCTCTAACTTAAATGCTCTTCTACAGTATTTTCTAAAACAAAATATTTTGCCTTTTATTTTCAATCAGGAGGAAGGTTTCAAACATAAAGAATACTGTTCTATCACCAGGATGTAATTAATTTATTAATATCTTTCCTTCCACATGCTCAAAGACTTGAAAATTAAACACAACTGAAAAAAAAATCACTGCAGAAAAAAACTAAACAAATTGTTTCTTTTACCATTTCACAGACATGCACAAAAAACTCGAAACCTTTTATTTCACAATGAATTAAACATATTTTTTCAGTTTTGAACTGGAAAATTCTAACGTAAAAGAAAATGAGAGAAGTAGAAAAATGAAATAGTGAGATGTGGAGTGGAAAACGTTGTGTCAAAACAAGGTTAAACAACATATACCAAATGTCTAGTTTCTGTGTCTGTAATAAGGGAGAAAGCAGAACTGGGGGGCAAATAGCTAAAAGATATGAGGTAATGAGAAGAAGAAGGTGAGATCATATTTTGTTAGGATTTCTTTGAAAGCAATGGAAAGACTCTCTGTGGAAGTAAAACTGTGGAAAACTGTGGAAAGCCCTTCATTGTTTTAAGCAAGGTATTCTGTGATATCAGTATCAGCCAATATCAGGTAACTAACCTTAATTGTGTGGAAGTCCACAAGCTGCACTGGGACTTAAAAATATATAACAGTCTCCTCCAAATTCAGTTTGGTTTTATGTCTGTTTTTCCTGTTTACATAGACAAAATACAAGAAGAGCACTAACACATCAAGAAAGGAAGTTGTATTTTCACCTATTCAAAATATAAGTTTCAAGATCAAGTGCCAAATTACAAAATGTTAATGCTGCAATTTCTAACAGGTACAACATGAATAGATACTTTGCTTTCATATTGTGACATTACAGTACTACCAGGCTGCTTTAATGTGTATAAATCTGCACTTGATCCAGCTTTAAATTATGTTTATTTCACTTTGATAGTGTAGTTTCACTGTGAGAAATGTAATATTGAGACAAAGTGTCCACTTGTTTGAAATAATCTATCTATATAAATTGATTTTCATAATTCTTCCCTCTCTTTCACTATAAACACTGCATGTAGTCTGATATGCAGGAAAAATAGACTAAGGTTTCATAATAGGAAAATGCCTTTTAAGGTCATTGAAATACCAAAATAGGCTACTAAGAAATGTAAAAAAAAACTTCACTGCAGAGCCTGAAGAACTTAGATGAAATGACAAGGTATGGATGATCTTGTCACAGTACAAAGGGCTGAAATGCATCTTGATGTTCTTTCCAAAACATCAGTGCTAAAATTCTAACCTATTTTCCTCAATGTAGCCATAGCAAATGGATTCTATTAGCAGTAAATATAAACAAACAAAAAACTTTAGGTGAAGTCTCTTCCAAATATTTGGTTCAAAGTTCAGTCTTACTACAGTGAAGAAAAATTTTTCACCTTCAGTTTTGTAACATGCACACTGCAGGACAGTACTTACTGACAAAGCTGAGCTGATTTTATTTGACCAACAATTACAAGAATCATTGCTTTTCACTGCATTGTAGGGGTAATACATACTATATTCTACAAAACCATAATTACTCCAAAATATTCTCCCTGTTTTATCCAAAAAAAATAAAAAAAATAAAAAAAATAAAAAAAAATCACTTGTTAATAAATACCTGATAAAACATTCCCATAAAATGGTATTTCTACTTCATACGTTCCTAGTGTACAAGAGTCAGTAATTAAAAATAACACTTTTTTCACTAGAGCCAACAGAACAAAACACACGCCATACATGATGCAAAATCTGAACCTCTAAGATGTATTTTCTAATAATCTTTGCACTCCCTCACAACAAGGAGAAACCTATGCAACAATGACAAGATATGTAAAAAGAATTCATTTGTCTTCCTTCAACATAATTTTATTGAAAGAGGGTACTTGTTACTTACATATTCATATCCTACTGTTACTTTTGTATATTCTGAATTTCTACTTACAAATTCTTTTAAGCCAAATGAAGCTGATCACAAAGAACAACGGGATCATGCTCTGAGGACAGTCAGAAATTCATTTCTCTCATTGGACAGGTTAAAATCATGCCTCTCTAGGCGTGCAAAACAAGAACATTTGAGTCTCTTGCTTTCCAAACTATACACAGGAAAGATGAAACCTTGCTGACAATCCTTCAAGCAACAAAAAATCTGATTCACAGCATGTTACTTGTCAAATTTTAAATGTGAGCGTTATACCACTTATCTTCTAAATAACTTCTTTGCACATTACTTTCTTCTATTTCTATAGCAAAACAACTCAGAGGTTAGAGAAATTTCAATCCTAACTAGGCAAAGCAGGAACTGAATTCATGCCTCCAACATTTTAGACAAAAGCATTCACACCTCGTAATCACCGGCTGAATGCTGACACTCTTGGTCAGCTTCGGTGCAAAAGCTCCCTGAGAAGGCAATGAGAGCCTGAGCACCGCACAGTCTCCAGATCAGCAATCAGCATGGAGCCC